TAGGCCAAGGTTCCGGCGACTTAATCGGATCTCGGTCTGGTCTTCGTTGGGTTCTTGGGGGCTTGTGTTCGGACTTGCACTCCGGGAACTCGGAAGGGAGCGCTGCACGGGCATGCGGTTACCCCGCACCTCCACCAAAATGTCACGGGTGGTGACCAATAAACAATAAACAGGAAGAAATAAACTTTTAATGTGGCAAACTTGTGCCAAAAATAGAAGGGTACAAAAGATAATAACAGAGCGTCGCGGGCGTCGAAGTCGGCGTAGCAGCAGAGTCGAACGCTGGGGCGAAGCTGACTCCGCTCGCCTTGCGGAATCCCATGTACCCTCGTGGGTTTTTGGATCGTTCGGCGTAGAAGGTTCGGCGCGTAGAACATTCTAACCTCGAATAAGCAAGACGGTTCTCTAATTGACCAGAACATCACATTACAGTGTCAACAAAAATGTGTAGCCGCGGGCAGGAATCGAACCCTGGCCTTCTGCGCGGAAGGCAAGCGCGATAACCGTTAGGCCACGCGCGCCCTGCCTACTTGGCCAGCGGCACGCGCGGCAATATCACGTGACGCGCAGGCTTGAAAGCTGGCTAGGTGGTGTTGCGCCGGTGCACCTCTCGCCACCTGTCGGTTGTTGCGCCTGCCAGAAGGAGCTCATTTAGCAGACGGAAGCCGTAGATAGCAAAAACCAATAATATATATATATATATATATATATATATATATATATATATACTTTTTGTTTACGGTAAGCTTGCTTTTTGAAAATTTCATGGGATGCTTCCACCACCCTTAGGCACCTCTGTTGTAAATCGTAGTGCAATATCTTACCAAGCCGATTTAAAGGGTTCACACGGCTTCAGGACGTCGCTGTAGGCTCTTCAAAGACTGTTGATCGAACGTCTTTTTTTTTTATTTTGGTTAAACATATAACATTTATGCCTCGTGATTTCTTCTGTGAGGGGTCTGTTGAGAGAGCGTATTGTGACGTATTTTAAACTGGCTGTTTTGAAGGGAGACCCAGTAGCCACAATCTGTTTTGATAAGTAAAATGCTTTTAACGAAGAATGTAATAAATTGAACTTGAGGAAGAAAACGAGAAAGGATGGACAACCACAAATTTCGAACTAGCAACAACATTTATTGACACCAAGAGTTAGCTTATATACAGGAAAAGAAAGAAAGTGAGGGGAAAAAAAAAGTGGAAAGAACGTTCTTGACAGCGACGTACCCTTGACGGCGCTATGCCGTCAAGGATACGTTGCTGCCGGGAACGTGGGGGGAGAAAGCTCTGAACTAAGGAATCTTATCTCTTTCCCTGAAAGGGCAATAGAGGGGGAATAAATTATTTTTAGTAACATTACTTTACATGGCACGTGTGAAAAGTCAGGCACCTGGTTCAAAAGTTATATTTCATCTCTCTGTGACATCAATTTATTTTGGAAGTTTCTCCCATAAAACTTTTTCAGCACTCTCTTTTTTTTTCAAACATACTTTCGACCTTCAATGTAATATCTCGTACTGCGATGAAAAAAACAAACAAAAAAGCAAGTCGCTACTTTTTGCTGGTAGCATTTGATATCACAAAATTCGTCTCTTATTGACTGAATATTTTACAGTTTGATGTGTCACACATATTGCAGTAAACTTCAATATGATTGTTGCTTAGCGTATAAGCAGAAGTGTTCATTATTTGTGCCGAAGTCGTAATTTTCTTGTCTATGGTAGATATAGATTTAAGATTTAACAGCAATGCATGCAAAAATGTCGTGAGTAATGCTAGTGAGTTTGCCTTTAAACATTTAATTTGTGTGTAGAGCAAGAAGCATGTAAATCATGTCTCGTGTGATTACGCGATTGGGAAACCCCCCACTTAATAGTACTTCTTTGTTTTTTTGATGTGGAATTCTTAATTGACAGTCACACCATGAAAAAAGATATCTAAGATAGTCTTCAACATCAAATTTGTTCGGAAAAGTTAGATTAAAACTTTTATATAAACTCTTTTTGTGCCGCGTTTTTTTTTAAACATTGAAAGTTTTGATACAAATGTCCACTTATACTGCGCTGCAGTGTCTTCGATTCCATTTTAGGTGTGTTTTACGCTGTTCGCGTTTAATATAAAATCGACCAACTAGCATCGTCGTCAACAATAGTCAACTTAAGATGGCAACTTTCTGCGACTTCGTGCGTTTGAAGTCATAAATCGTGTCATCGTAAATTGCGTAGGCTGTGCATCTCAGCAAGGTTAACTTTTTTGCACCGCTGCGACGTAGCAGAAAATTTATGATGTTCAATTCCAATGTAACTATATTACATAACAGCATCGTTCCTCTTTAGAGACAAATCTAAGTAACAATGTATACCTTTTGTTATCATTAGGACGATGTTGCGATCAGTCCACATCGTGACGATGTTGCTACATACTTGAAACAAGCTTCTTCAGCAATTCGTCCACAAAGCGGTAGGCTCAAAAAGTAGCCTCTGGATTCTAACCCCGTCGCACAGATACGTAATTGGCGCAAAACAAAACATTAACTTCAGGTTAATAGAATTTATTAAGGCTAAAACAGAAACAGAAAGTGGGACAATCCTTGCATTAGAAAGTCATGTAAAAACTAAAGTGGTATTGAAAGTAAGCCGGCATAAGGTTGACATCGTAACACAGGAACCGGGGAATAAATGGTGGACGGAAGACACAAAACTCCAAACACAGTTAAACGTTTATTAAGCCAAGACATCTTTGAATAGGCCATCCACCTAGCGGAAGTACACATTGAATGCTAAACGCAAGACCTCAAAGAAACCTGTAACTACCAAACGAACAGAAGTATACACTGAGCAATAAATATGTTCAACCTGTTTAACGTTCAATAAAAAACTCCTCCCTTAATTTATACACAAAACGGCAAGCGGAACAAAAAACATATTTGACTTCACCTCCGATGACAGGGATGGCCGACAGGCGCAAAACAAACAAACCGTGTAACTTCAGGTCCATAGGATTCATCCGGTATAATACAGCATCAATAAGGGGGCCAATGCCTGCAGTAGGAGGGAATATTGGAACAAACTAGAAAGTGGCGACCAGGTTTAATAGACAAAGTAAGCCAGGAACAGGGGAGATAACATGGGACGGATGGCAAAGAACACTAGATACAGCTAAAATGCTATTAAGCCAAGACATTCTTATAGGCCCATGACCTAGCAGTACACACTGAAAGGGAAACACAAAAACCGCAAAGAATGTAGGAACTAGTAACCTAGCAAAAGTTCACAGTGAACAATAAACACAACAAAACGACACGGGAAGAAACAAGGAAATACTAACAAATAATAAAAAAAGATTATTAGGGAAACCAACACAAATTCGCAAGCCACCAATCAAACAAAACCAACGGGGCGGCCTCGCCTACCGCACACAAGGAGTAAGAAAAACAACAGCAAACAAAGTTCGGCCACCCCCCCCCCCCCCCCCCCCCAAAGAAAAGTTAACAGAAACGTTTTAATGGGGTCGTTCAGAAGCACCGACATGCCATCAAAACAAGCATCCTTGCTTGCTAGCGAATCTCAAAGAAACATTTACGAGATGTTTGTATTAGTTGTTTTCTCTTTTTATTGCTGACTTTAAGATTATTTCAAAGAACACATCAACCTGAAAAACCAGAAACACATTTAGCAAGATCTTAAGATGCATTGTTCTTTTTAATCGCTCGCCTATGCTCCCTTAATACGCCTCAAATACACTTGCGGTGACTGAAATGGGGGTCTTCGGCCCAAAATTAAAACCGGCACGTTATACAAACTTGAAACGGGCAAGAGTGGCGTCCAAGTACTTTTTTAGTCGACTCCGGTAGTTACCAGAAAATTGCAAGCTGAAATATTTTGTTCTGATCTGTGCCATCTCATTGCAGCACCAGTGACTTTGGAGGAAAGTGCAACTTCGGTTTTGTATTTTGACGGAGATATAAGGCCACAGTTTCTATTTTTTACCCTTGGCATCGGTCCTATACACAATAGTATTGATATATTTTTAGACCCCACAACTTGCCGAATCTGTTAGAAAAAATAGAAGTGCGTAGTTTAAAACCTTTCCTAAATTAACGCCTCTAAATATTGCTCGCTTTAAATTGAGCCTATGTCTTCCACCTGCGACGTTTTCAAACAACAAATTAGTTTAAAGTTAATACTCAAACCAGTGACTGACATTGCCTAGGCTAATATGTTAGCATCATAACCAAATTCATCATAATAGTAATGCAGACATGTTTAATAAACCTGGGATTAAAACAATATCCTCGGCTCAATCCTCACTGGGCGTCAGCGGGTCCGCTGCTTTTGAAGTTACCCGAGGAAATTTCATATTTTTGTTCAGCACCTGCCTTAATTACTAAAAAATCAAAACAAAAACAAAAATATCAGCGCTAAGTCAGCCTAGCCAGAGTTGTTTGATGTATGCGGGAATATTGAAGAAAGTTTGTTCCAAACGTCCCAGCGTGAAAACAAAGAGGTTAAAGCGAAATGATGGCGGAGGGTATGAATACTCTAGATTGACATCTGCCCCTGCATTCAAGACGTGTCATAAACTAAAATATTATATCCAATAAAAGCTTACACTTTATAAATGTAGATCGTGTAAAACCACATTTTGGTACAAACATTTCCAAGTTTATACACATTTTACACACCACGGCACATATAGAATGTAGATGTCTGTCATTATTTCGTGTGCAAAATATTGAAAAGTCTATCATAATTATTCGGCTCGCACGAGGTGGGTTTCTCGCGGTGTATGCCGTGAGTGGCATCTGGAAACCGAAACTGCTACGTTTAGTTCACTTTGGTTTCGTACAGGGCAATAGAAGCCACGAACAGGTGCAAATAAGGTTTGACGTGATTGTTTGACACTTGTGCACGCAGGTTTGTCTACAATCAAAATTATGGGCAACGACAGTAAGTGATTTGTGCCACAAAATTCTCTTAAACTTCGAACGGTGTGTTTTTCAGATAATGAATTTTCCTGAAAACATCCTGAAGCGACTCAAATACGACCTCCGTCTTGTAATGTTCCCGAGAAAGTATTTTCATAAGTGGAAGAGACTGTTTGCACCTTGTGCCACGCAACGACTCTTTCTGCCAGTAAGTATCCGGACTATGATTGTAAAGGCATTACCGTTCACGCAATAATAGCTCTGGTCGTTTCCTGCAGCAATTATACCGCACCGATGTTCGATGCTTTGTAACTTTGGACCTCAATTAATTTTCATATAAAGTGCCCGGAAAAACAGTTAATGTTTTCCATTGAAAAAACGTTTTGCGTCGCCGAAGGTTTACTCTGCTCTAATATAGCACTCAGGGTACAGAACAGATGTCAAAGTTTCACAAATAACTGCTATCTTATTTGAAAATCTTAATTGGTTTTCAGAAAAGTTTATATAAAAATAGTGGCCGACGAAGTCCACAAATGCGTACAGCGGAATGGTGTCAGCTACCAGATATCACAGTTGGGTAATTCGAAACTAAAATATAAATACAAGTACAGCGACTTCGCTGCATAAATTGATAACTTATTATTAATATAATAGCTTTCAAAAGTAATGTTTTACAATTATGCATTACTTCCAGAAAGTAACGCAACTACATTGTAATTAGTATAATTGAAACTCTAGCCCCAGCTCAATGATAAAGATGTGGTAGCATTCTTCTGGGCTAAAAAAAGAAAACAACCGCATCTCCACGTGGTGAATGATGTTGATTGGGGCAAAGCTCTGGTGTTGCTTGTCTGCGTAGACGCTGAGCCGCAGCATGCCGAGCCTTTCGTTCGTTTTCATCCATGTCACGCTGCGGTCAAATGCTGAAATGCGTATATAACCACGTTCCATACCTTTCTGACATGGATGAAAACGAACGAAAGGCTCGGCATGCTGCGGCTCAGCGTCTACGCAGACAAGCACCACCAGAGCTTCGCCCCAATCAACATCATTCACCACGTGGAGATGCGGTTGTTTTTTTTTGCCCTACACGAGCACGGGAGCACGTGCTCACGTGCTCGTGAGCACGAGCACCCGACGCCGGACATCGGACGGACATACGGACATGGCTAGCCCCCAAGGAGCTTCGCCCCTAAAATACGCGTCAAAATGCAGTATGAGATGGCATTTTGCATTCAACGCATTATGACCGTTGTTGTATTGACATTAATCATAATATAAAATAAATTCTGATCTCTGAGCATAATATGGGTAAGTTGTTTTATTATTTTGCAACCCCACCGATATTTTAGTGATCTTTCTATAATGGCAGTTTGAAATACGTGCGTATTATTAGTGTTAGTGGGCATTGAGAGAGTCTGCAGAGGCTCACGCTCTTAAATACTCATGAAGTGTCCTTCATGAGTCGTGATAAGGCGATGGATGTACAGTCACCATTTCATAATTTCGGTTCTTTCGCAACACGCCGACTATGGAAGGGACGCTCTTTTTATGCCTTCTGTGCCCCTCTGCGAGTGCACTGGCTTTGGAAGTTGTTCAGCTCTGCGTCTACAGTCGGCGGTCTGGCGCAGTCTCAGCGCTTATTAAAGCTCGACGACTTGGCAGAAGGGAGACCAGGCGCTTGATCTTTTTTCGCGTCTGTAGAACTTTATAAACATAATTTCAATGTGATAGTATCATAAAAAATATAGTTGTAATTGTATTTAAAATTCAGCCATGCCTTCGGCTAAAAAGTAAGAAAATTAAAACAGGGTGATTTTATTTTGAATCGAGCAGTAAAAGGGGTCAGATCTCAAAAGCGATTGGAAACATATAATGCCGGGCAAATGGTTCACTAGGCTAAAACTGAAAACTGCTTTTCCGTCGTAATTTTAGTTTTCGAGATTTTGATAGCTAAAATATCAGACAGATTTCTGAATTTAGTCAATATTTACAGGTCACGTATTTGGCGGCTTCGCCTGTTTGAGATGTTTTTCGCACAACAAATACATTTTATAAGCTTTTTTTTTTAAACTTGATAATGAAGCGGCAACTGTTCACAAACGTTTTTTTTCCTTTCGATTTTGAAAAACAAATCCACAACCTGGCCCTTTTGACGAAATGTTTAACTGGTTTGGTTGATGATAGTTTTTGTTGCGTTTCACGTAGGGGACACCTGCGTCAGTAGATGTTTGGTGAGTCGCGTTACCACAGACCCTGAGCCATGTGTGTTCTCGCACCCTCGGCTGTCTGTACGTTACTTTCCCGTGTCCGGGTAAAAGGGGATCCTGTTGGTTGAGCTGAGCCCGGGGTAGGCTAGGGGCAAAAGGAGATCACCGGGATGCTCTCGAGACGAGCGATGCGAGGTTTGTGGGCGAATACCCGCTGACCAAAGGGGTGACTCGCTGGCTGTGCGACCATCTTCGCGGAAAGCTTCAGCGGCGTCGCGAAGGGCCCAGTGTGCTGACGGTCGAACAACAAGTCCTCGCAGCTCTACGCGTCTACGCCGCTGGCGGCTTCCAGGGAACCGTCGGGAGCGACGAAAACATTGGAGTTCACCAGTGCTCTGTGAGTCGCGTACTTGTTGATGTCACCAGCGATATCCTCGATTGCCTCGGATCGAACTTTCTGTGTTTCCAACAAACTCAAGCAGAGAAGGCGCTCGCAAATAGGAAGTTCTTCGAGCGATGCAAGTTAAGCGGCGTGATCTAAATATTCTGAATACTCTCACACGATTCAACACGATTGTGTTTTCATTTTAAGTGCACACCATATAAGCGATTTGGCAGAGCGAAAAGCCAAGCAACGGTAACAGGCTTAAGTTGAGCTAGTCGGTTCATACTTCAGGTATATATATATATATATGTATATACACACTTTATTTCAAAGCAACAACTTCAGGTAAGGCCAGCTGAACTGGAATAAACATACTCATAAAGAAAAGATCATACAAACCGTGGGACTAACAACTGATTCCCACCTTGAGGGAAATATTCTGTTTTCTTTTTCTTCGCTTCCTACTTCACCGAAAATTTAACCCCGAAGGAACATTTTTTCTTTCTCGTGCAGCACGAGAGAAGTTGCACTAACGCAGTCAAACAAAGTCAAAAAGTCAAATTTGTCGTTAGTTGTTTATACAGCAGGAGGGTAGTCTGCCTGAACATGGCGACATTGTTACCCACTGTAGCTAAGCAATTTAGCCAGTGCGGTACGACTGCTAGCCTGGGGCTTTTAACGTGCACCACGCAGTAGCGATACGCGGCCGAACAGCACACGCTATATCCAATCCCGTGCTCGGGCGTGGCACGCAAGAGTATTCCAGGGGCCCTTTCATTCTGCTCGCGTTTTGATTGACGTGCCTTGGGAGTTCAGCTCGTCTACAATACTGTCCCACACCTCGTCCCACTCGGGCTTGGCAGAGGAATTTCAGTGGCGGCCCTCATTAAACTTGGTTTTCTGTCAAAAAGTCGTTCAGAAGGCTCATCTGGTGGACCGACACGCGAGGACTTTACCTCCACTTCTTCCTGTTGTTGGCCATGACTGCCTGCCTGCGCAACGTAAAGGGCTGCAGCTAATGCTAATAGTGTTTGCGTAACTTAAAGGGACCATGAAATGACCTTTTTACTTTTGCCAGATAACTTTTATATTAAACCTTCAACGTTCACTGAATGCCGAACAGGCATCCGTTTTAATCTCGGATTATTAACTTCTACACAAAAAATAATGAAATATCGACTTTTTCTTTCTCTCCAACTGACCGCAAAACAAGTCGCGGCGTAATTTGAACGGTCGTGACGTACCCTGGCACAGGAACCGGAAGTTCTCTAGGCTGTAGGAGAATGGGAGACTTAGCGGCGGCGAGTTGGGGGTGCGCCGGTAGGTTTTATTGCGTTGATGGCGCTGATGTCACCGACGTATTTTCTGAATCGGCGCCTCTCATCGCCGCGATAGCCATGGACACATCGCAGCTGAGTGAAATTCAATGAGATATGTTGCGCTACAGCGACAGCATGGGACTAGTCCCATACGCCGGTATGCCTGTTGGGAAGTGCAGCGAGTCTTCCGGTTAAGACTCCAGAAGTCAACCCAACTGTCATTGTTGCTAAAAGGGGGCCCGTGTCAGTCGTTTGCAAAGCGACGTAGATGGAAACAAATTGCTACGGCGTTTTTCGCGGCCTCGGAGTTGCAGGAGCGAGCCGACGTTAAAGAAGAAACGTTTGAACTACGACAGTGTCAGCAAGAGCCACGTAAATATCTGTTCACACTCGGAGCTGACGGGCGCGTTTGATGGAAGTGCTGTATTCGCGCTGTTGTTAAGCGCTTCGGGACCGATCTTTTACGATTGCAACTCGATACCGACGTGACAATGAAAGGTTGGACCGGCATCGCACGTAGGTCCCACAAACTGTTATAGTTCGACAGTGACGTGCAGTCGTGTCAGAATAATAATGGCATACTAATAACAAAGTGTACATACCGTGCTACGAAGGTAATCCATACGGCGTTTATTTGAGCTTTATATCACACAAAACAAGAAGATAGAATCGACGAGAGTCCCCTTTCGACGACAGTGTTCGTCAACACTGCCTCGGAAAACAAGGGGAAGAGATTGACCTCACCTCTTAATCTAAAGTTGAGGTCAGCGATCAAACTATAATACGGGAAGGGTCAACAAGGGTCGCGCGGGCATATTCCATTCAGCACGCCAGCCGGTCGTGGGCAGACGGTTCTTGGCCAAGTACCGTTGAAGCAATGCTGCGCCGAGTCGGAGTGCCTGCTAGGCCTATCTGCCGAGCTCGCTTGGTCGGGGGTTGGTGGATTCGTGGCCGTTGTCGCTTTTCTTCGGGGGTTTGTGGATCCAGCGTTCTTGTTCGTCATGGTCTGTTTCAAGTACTTTTTTCTTACTGCTTGAAGTCGGGACGCGCGAGAAGAAAACAGGTAGAAAAATAAACGTTCGTTGGTCGTCGCGACCCAAGTAACTGAGCGACGCTGTCGGCCCTATGCGCACGCGCAGTAGTTGCTTCGTTTACCATAGATAGATGGCGCTTGGCTCTCAGCATTATCAAAATTGGCAATTTTCGCCACACATCTCTAATTATGCTACAAAATGTGCATCTGAATATTATTTAACAAAACTTTTAGGAAACATTCGCCGGCTATTTATTGTTT